GAAAAAAAACTCAAAAAATTGGAAACAAAACCAATAAAATCTTATTAAGTTTGTAACTCCGAAAAAACTTACCTGAGACCCGAAAAATCGTTATGTTTTTATAGAGTTGTGCTATACTTTTGTGTATAAAACATTGAAATACAATATTTTAATTTTTGAAATGTGTATGATAGAAATCATAAACGTGATGGTCAGGGACAAGCGGTACGGTAGTGAATTGTCTGGAATAATCTAAATCTTTCTAAACAGTCCTTCAATTATACTGTTAGTTATAATAAAAATAGTTATATTCAGTATCTACGAAGTAAATTGCCATGGACATAAAAACGTATGTTTCAAAATTTTCACTCATGCCTATTCTTCCACTAATGCATGAATAAATAAATGCCTTTAATAATGAGTTGGCACATCAATCAATAGCTCAGACTGATGAATCCTTTTCAAATTTTCAACCTGTCTGGTCCTGGTGTGCTTTTGGAGACAGTTTCGATCGTTATTAAGGCAGTAAATTATTTACCTGGGATCTGGGACTATAAGCTCTATATGTATATATATATATGTTATAGATGGTGTAGTGTCCCAGGGCCAGGGTTAAAAGATGGATCTACATTGGGTCATTCATCTCATAAGGATATCTGAGGAGCTGAATGCAGGTTTAATTTTTTCTGGTGACATATAAGGCTGATTTATACAGGGTGACAAAAAACTCTGGAAACGGCTTGATATCTTTTGAACTAAATTCGTTAGAAAATTAAAATTTTCACATCAGCTTATATGTATGAATACTAATTTTTGAAAGCTTTACCATTTTTTTAACCTTCACCAGGGGACGGCCCATGAGGAGTAGGTACATAATCTTTAATGTAAGCATAGATTGATATGCACAGCATTTTAAAGGTCTGGTCAAGTGGAGCTCATTGCCGGAAACCAAAGTTATTGCCGAATATACCTGCACAAGTGCACATGCCTTAGTATTGGTAAATACTCATAGTCAACATTAGCCGGGAAATCTGAAAACTGGTTATATTTGTTTTGAAGATCAAATAAACTTAGTCTATATGAGCTAGTTGACTTTAAAATACAATTTCAGCTCTCAAGCTAATGTTTAATACGAGTCGAGTATTTACCAATACTAAGGACTTTGATACGCGGTTTCAGGCATTGAACTCCACTTGACCGGACTTTTAAAATGATGAGCATATCAACCTATGCTTACATTAAAGATTATGTACCTACTCCTCATGGGTCGTCCCCTGGTGAAGGTAAAAAAATTGTAATGCTTGCAAAAAGTAGTTTTTATACATGTAAGTTTATGTGAAAGTTTTGAATTTTCTGACGAATTTAGTTAAAAAGATATCAAGCCATTTCCAGAGTTTTTTGTCACCCTGTATAATAATGGGGACGCTTTATTTGAATAAAATCCTTCTGCTGTTAAACTATTTTACATGTACAGCTTGCAGATGTTTATCTAGAAATGAATGTATGAGTGAGTCAATGTTAGGTGCGGGTGTTATTGGATGTGTTCTTTGCCTTAGGAGTTAGTTCTTCAGGACTAAAATGTAACATTGTAATATATGAGTGAAAATTTAAAAACGTACGTTTTCAGGAAAAGCACTTTGCAAATTTTTTTCCCCTTTTTTCAAAACTTTTCTTATTTTTTTATTTTATTAACATTTGAAGTTTCATAAAATGTCCATGGTAACGCAATATCTTTGGTAGTTTTATTTTAAAGAGCATCTTTAGTGGAAAAACACAAAATCCTGTCACGACCATAACAGACGTTTAAATGAATATTAAAAATAGTTAATATTATTTTTATAACTATGTTTTGCTATAAACTAATTTACTTTTATGACCATTATACAATAAAAAGGTCACTGAGCTTTTGGTATATTTGGTCTTTCTAGAAAAAAATAAAAAAACTCAAAAAATTGAAAAAAAGCCAATAAAACCTTTTTAAGTTTGTATAACTCCGAAAAAACTTACCTGAGACCCGAAAAATCGTTATGTTTGTATAGAGGTGTGCTTCTTTTGTGTGTAAAACATTGAAATATGACGATATTTTTATTTTTGAAACTTTTATGATAGAAATCATAAACGTGATGGTCAGGGACAAGCGGTACGGTTGTGAATTTTCTGAAATAATCTAAATCTTTCTAAACAATCCTTCAATTATACTGTTAGTTATAATAAAAATATGTGTTTTAATTGAACTAAACTGTTCAAATTACAATTATATTAAAGTTATTGTCACGACCAAAGACACTATAATCCATAAGGCTGGATTAGTCGTGAAAAAACCCGCGATGGTCGTGAAACTTTGGTCGTGACATTACGTGTTATTTGGCTCTGTTCTGGCGGTAGCCCTGCACCTCATGTTCGAGGATACAAAGTGGACTTATAGGTTAATCTAGCAATTGAAATATCTTATAAACAAAAATTAACACCATGTCTACTTCATCGAATGACTACGTACGGTCATGGACACACCAAAATTACAAAAAACACAACCTTTCCTTTATTAATCTTGTAATTCCTCCTTTCAACTCGAAACGACCGGCACTACAATCCTGACGTACACCCCGAACTAGTCTCTAAAATCAACTGACTCCATCGACGCCAGGCTTGCCAATGTCGTGCTCCAAAGTTGAAAATTTTTCCCAAATGGTCGTGACGCCAAATCGAGGGACAGACTTATTTTGTCATGGTAGTCAGTTTGCAATGACAATAAAATTATAATATGCTCATTTTTTGTAAGTTTAATAACCATTGATGACATAAAAATATGGCCTTATATATTTCGGCATGAATAATTAGTCTAAAATCAGCGTGAAAGTTGGAAAATGTACCCTAGGGACACGTCATGGTCGTGAATTTCGAGACTTTAAAAATACGAAAAAAATACCTAGAACCTATTTAAAACCAAATAATTGTGTGTAACATGTTGCCCCCGTCCCAAAAAATATTAAAACACATAATAATAAACTACAAATCCAGTATCTACGAAGTAAAAGGCCAGGGACATGAAAACGTACGTTTTTAAATTTTCACTCATATACAGGGTGTCCCGGGACTCTCTACCAATATTTTAGGGCATTGATCCTGGGTAAGAAACGTACCTAAATATCATATTTAAATTGTCCGGAAGTCCTTAGTTACTCACACAGCCGCCATTTTGTTTTTTTCAGTTATTAATTGTTTTCTAAAGAATGGTTAAACATACGAAATGGAAACTTTGTACAAACATTTAAGACAACTAGACAAAGCTACAAAAAAATTATGAAGATTTTTCAAATTCATAAAACAAAATGGCGGCCATTTAAATTTTTCTTTCTTAAATAACTCAAAAACCATTGATTTTACAAATATTTTAAATGGCCACCATTTTGTTTTATGAATTTGAAAAATCGTGATAATTTTTTCGTAGCTTTGTCTAGTTGTAATAAATGTTTGTGCAAAGTTTCCATTTCTTATGTTTAACCATTCTTTAAGCAAAAATTAATGACAGAAAAAAACAAAATGGCGGCTGTGTGAGTAACTAAGACTTCCGGACAGTTTAAATATTATATTTAGTTATGTTTCTTACCCAAGATTAATGCCCTAAAATATTGGTAGAGAGTTCGGGGACACCCTGTATATATTTGTAACAGTCTTGATAGTTATGTGCTGGGTTCATGAGCTAGGGGGAGGAGTGCTGTTGACATATTTATTAATTTACTTACTTATTAAAACAAGTTTGCTGCGGTTGCACTTGATGCCTGGCCATGGCTGGGTGCAGGAACAGCTAATGCACTGCATGGATGAGTGTATGAAAACGTGTAAATTTAATTTCATCCAATAGGAGAGGCATATTATAGGCTGTACTGTGATCCAGTTGTTGTGGACGTAGTTTTACAAGAAACCAACAGATAAAAGCACTAAACAAAAGTGCTGTCAGGCCCTCAGTATTGCCAAAAGGAAAGAAAAAGCAGGGCCTAAGTACCCAGATACACCATCAAAAAAGGTGTCAAGCACAATTTTGAGGTTAGGTTCCTTCCACAATGTTACACAACGGTCATTATCGTTATTCTACTAAATCTAAGCCAAAACCCAACACTACACACTGCCCAAAAAGCACTTGGCACTGTAAAAGTAACCGATCCAAAAACGAATTGTACCAAAATGACGTGTTAACAAGTGTTGATATCAACATTATACATAATTTAAAACATTTAACGGGAAATTCCATAGTGACCATACAGCTGTAAAATCCAGCAGTAATTCTCATTAGTCATTAGAAAGAAATTGCATATATTGAGCCATGATACTAGTGATGGTAGTACTAAGTGAATTGTATTGTACTTTGTCAGAGAGCAGTTATAGGATTTGTGGCCAGTACTCATACTTGGGCAAAAAATCTTAAGATAACAATTTTCACTAGGTACACACGTTAGTCCACAGCCACCTTTAAATCCAGGGCGCGCCCTGGTAGATTGTCAACTTCGCAAGTAGTGCTGTTTAGAGCCAGACGTCCGATAAGCTAACATGGCAGACAGGTGACACCCACTCATTTAATGGTCTATTATTAATTTAAATTTTTTGATATAAATATATTAAAAGATTGAAAATAAAACATATATACCCTAGTGTTCTAAACCAGGACAAAATAAATTGAAAATTTATTTCTGTACATTAAAAATGAAGTCAATATTTTCATAGGCCAGTAACCAAGCTTTTGCATTCTTAACAAATATGTACACAAATATGCATTAGCCATCACCAAACAAAACAGCTGTAACAGCACTACTGACAGTGTTGCCACTTTAAAGGCCACGGCCTGGAGTTAAAGGTAGGTGGCCGGTGGCCGTGGTTAGTTACCATGCTAGAAAGACATGCTTACTAATCAATTTGCAGCCACACGTACATTTAGACTATACAGCCTTTCCTTAGGCCTATGTAGAGAGTATTCTTAATCCCCATACATAATATTGTTCAAAAAGGAAAGAAAATAATTACAAAAGTTCTTGGTAGAAAGTTTCTATAACTAAATCAGGTAACTTATAAAAAAACCTATATGACATCAAACAGATGTTGCATCAAAAACACTGAAACAACTATCATATGCTTTAGCATTAACCATTTTCAATACTGTTTTCAGGGTGTTGCCAGGTCCTACTTCATACGTTGTAGGGAAGTGTGATCCAACAGGACGTTCGTACATGATATGCATCATCTGTTCCCATTTGATAGGCTTCACCATCTGTTTGTGTAGGTTTTTCAGGATGTCCTCTCTGTTGCGATAAATCTGGAAATAGTTTTAAAACAACTAATAAACACAAATTAGATAAAATATCAATTAGTAGCCTACGGTATTTGAAGTTAAAACTTTAAATTCTACTTTTTACCTTAAGCATGATTATGCTGCTAAAAATATTAACATTCTTAACATTCTACCAACAAATTACTATAATTGGCTTTAGAATGAAAAGAACTTGCTATTGAAGGTCCTGTTATTGTGGTTGTACCAGGTATAAATGTAATGAATAGCTGGTTCAAGTACAAAAAGGTTTTTATTATCTGCTTTACGTCTCTAGAGATGAGGAAGTGTGGTGGGGAAATCTGTCTCTCTCGTACTACCTTCTCTACATGCCATCCTAAAATGTGAGTTTACAAGCTACTAGCTGATTTTTTAACATGCAGCTTGTAAATTGGAGAGTACTCAGCACACTTGCTTGCTAGCTCCTATTAGAAATATTCTGAAGAATTTACTCAACAAATGACAACTGTATGCCACTAACTGGATGTTGAGCAAATTGTACTACCCAAGTCACAATTGTGTATGCACAAGTGACAAAGTCTTATGATGTCAAAGGAACTGGCTAAGTTAGTAACATGAACCTTTTTCACCATAGTAGTTGACAAGCCTGCTTTTACTCAATAAACAAAATTAGTAAGAATTTTCCCGAGGAAGCAATATTATTGTTTATCACTCTTCTTCCCCTTAGTCTTACACTCCTTTTCACCATCTGGTTATGAACCATAGAGACTAAAATCTTTCTAGTAGAAGTGTGCAGAAGAGCATACTCTCATATATCCATATATGAAGAAAGCTTGCTTACTGTAGGCAAGTTTACATTACAGGTGAAGGTTTCATTACAGGATTCTAGTGATGGCAGAGAACTGTGCTGTCATGATGTAGCCAATAATTTCAACTAAAGTAGACCTGTGGCTTTTTTTCAATGGCTCATATATACTTCATGAGCTTGCAAACTGCACAGTTTTTACAATTTTCGGCGTCTTTCATTTTTTTTATGTTTTTGTTGATGTTGTAGGCCTATGTCTAACTAAGCCTATACCACAGTGTTTTAATACTTTCTTATTAAATGGCGACCATACAAAGTAGGTATTTTAAGCCAAGTATGAATGGAGATGAGTGTAGGATGAGTGGCGCAATCTTGTAGTCTTGTTAGTGACTAAGGCCGACATTCCTTAGACTCAGCTGTTAATTAATAGCCCATACAGCTAATGGCAACTAAGGGACCTACAGTTTATAGTGGAATCCGAACCACATTTTTGCCTTGGTATATACGAATTGGTCTAATTATCAGGATATGTAATATATTATATTATATCACATTACCTGGCTCTTACAATTATCTGAAACATCTGTAAAATGTTTATGTTTACATTTTGTTTCTTCTATGATTATTAAATTTAGTTTTGTTCTCTAACATTTTATAGAATCATTTATTAGTTTTCAAAGTTAAATATGTTTTAGTGGCAACGAGGACGGGATTTTTAATGACTCATACACTTTTCTACAGGATAAACATTGAAATTAACATACTATCATGACTGAAGACCTTTCAACAATTTTATCAACGTTTGTTCAACAACAGGTTATACTTCTGAACAAGTTTAATGAAATCACAGAAACCCATGCACAGAATCCAAAACCTTCAACACCCCAGAACGTAATCACATCATTCAATTTCGATTCATTTGATGAAAATCTTGAAGATTTCAATTCATATAGACAACGACTTGAAAATTACTTTCATTTGAAAAACATTACAGGAAACGCAGATGAAATACAACAAATCAAAGCAAGAATATTGATCAATTGTATTGGACCAAAACATTATCAACTTGTATCTCCAGACCTACCATCAAACAAAAGCTACGACAAATTGATTAAAATAGCTGAAAAACATTTATGTCCAAAACCCAATGGTTTTGTGCAACAACATACTTTTCTATCACGTGTTCAAAGTCCGACAGAGTCCATATCTGAGTTTGTAGCTGCACTAAGAAGACTTACATTCACATGCAATTTCAACTGCCCTTAATTCTTGTGAATCTTCAATGGTAGATTTGTTTTTACGTGCACAATTCATTCGAGGATTACGAGATGAAACAATCAGTGAAAAGATTCTTCAGCATCCAGAATTGACTTTTGAAGGTGCGTATGAACATGTTTTTGTTGTATGGAATAGAGTTCTGGGGCAGCTGCTCAAATGCCGAAACCATTTTCAAAATTCAAAAAAAGATCCTAAGAATTATGACATTTTCAAAACCTAGGCGATCCTGTAAATTATTATTTAGAGAATTGAAAATATTAACACTTCCGTCAGTTTATATCCTGCAAACATGAATTTTTATTTAAAAAAATCTTGAATCTTTTAGGAATGAAAACCATAACAATAATTATTTAACACGACATCGAAATGATTTACAACTGCCCATTCATAGACTTTCCTCACTAGAAACCCTTCCACAATATCTAGGGAAAAAACTGTATAATAAACTCCCTGATAATATTAAATCATTAGAATCTTTTGAAAAATACAAAAAAGACGTTACCAAATTGCTGCTTAATAAAGGGTATTACAAAGTTAATGATTTTTTAAATGATGTATGTATTTGATTTCTTAGCATTTTGTATAGTTATTATAGTTTTATGTATTTTAATTGTACATGACCATTTCACCTGTTTCCCAGCTATGCTGGATCTGTAAAACGTTGTGTGAAAATAAATAATTTACTTTGACTTTGACTTTGAAACAGGCTCTGACTCTTGAAGCATCAAAAAAGGGTTGCAAAACATTTCATGGAACTGATTCAATAAATAAAGATTCAAAAGCTTTTCGTACAAAAAACTATGATTGTGATAACACATCAACAAAACAAAGTCAAAACAATCCAAAGAACTTGTATGAGCGCCTAGGAATTGCAGGACTATGTCTGTGTTGTGGTGAGAGTAACCACTTGGCAAAATCGTGCGACAGGGACATTAACACCTTATTTTGTAGTTTATGCCATAAGCGTGGTCATATCTCTAAAGTTTGCATATCAACCTTAACACGATGACTGCTGAAAACAACGTACAGGCGCTCCCCAGTGGCGGGCGAAGCCCCGGCACGCAACCGAATCAGCGAACGCAATTGGCATTCAAATATTTCAGTCTGACGAATCACAAAAGAGCAGTGGAGACTGTGCTGCGTTACCCCGAGAGTGGATGTAGTTCACTGAATCACCCAAAGGTAGCAGCACTGCACGGATCCGTATCCAGTGTCTTTGTAACGTGGGTTGAAGAGAAAAAACCCCCCAAACCGGGACAAAAGCATTGCCAGACAGGATTTTACAGGAAATTTTAGTGCCAACCTACACCAAAGTAAAGCTCACATTCTAAGCTGGCAGGCTGGCAACGATTATAACGTATTCGTCTGAGGCTAAGCTCACACTGACTCAATATATTTCTGTTGGTCTGGTGCCGACTTTTGTCGGCGCGCGCCACATTGAAGTGCTAGCGACGCCGACTATAGTCGGCGTTAGCAGTCAACGTGTTAACAAGATCAAATCATTGCAATGTAAATACCATAATTCAAGAAGACATAGAACATGATGAGTTTCCTATTGGAAGAATTGTTTCTGTCCGTATTGCGTCCACTACTTCACCAACGGAAAAATTCATGACAACGCTGAACATTGAAAATGGTAAGCTTACCTTTGAAATTGACACTGGGAGTCCAGTAACTATGATCAATAACAAAGACCTTCAAAAAGTTTGCACCAACAGAACTCTTCAGCCAACATCAACAACATTTAAAACAGTTACCGGTGAAATCTTGAAACCTCTGGGTGTCACCAAAGTTGAGGTATGGTACAACAACAAATCTACAAACCTGAACTTGTTTGTAGTTGATAACATTATTAATCCATTACTAGGTCGAGATTGGTTGCAAAAACTGAAAATTCCCTTAGATTCTCAACTATCCACTTCCACCATAGCTCCTTCATCAGTGAAGCCTGCTGTAACATGCTCCTCTCCACCTCCACCACCCTCTGTCAAACCTGTGAGCTAGGGCTACTCTGCAGTTCCGGTTAAACTAATAACCCACGAAATGCCATTGAGACCAGTAACTTACACACCACCCGCCTCGGCTGTCTTATACGAGTACTCTTACCCAGCTGTGAAACGTGTAGTGCCGACAGTTCTCAAAACACCGATTGTACCACTGAAACCAGTCCAGTACATGACTTTTGCTCCCCCATACTCTGAACATTCTACTCCAACTCCACTGAAGACTCTTAACTCTGAACATTCTACTCCAACTCCACTGAAGACTCTTAAGTATTCAACACTAGTGCCTGCAGTTAGCTATGAATATGTACCTCCTGCCCGGGTAAAACCATTGAAACCCAATGTGTACTTACCTCCTTCTCCCCTGACAGTGAGCTACGATTATTCCATTCCAGCTTCAACAGCAGTTTCCAACGGTTACAAATCGACCACATCAATTCTAAAACCCCTGGTTGATTTCCCTCCTATTCAGTATTTAACTCCCGCTCCTATTCATTTTCAATACCCTACTCCAGTTGCAGTCAAAACCTACAATTATTCAACGACTCCAGTAAGCTATTAAACTATACACCGGTTCCAATGAAAAAAAAAAAAAAAAACTTAAGTTTATTATCTACACCACACAAGGATCAGTTATATGAGTATCCCACACCAAGACTTCAACCTGTTGTTATCTTTTTAGAGGGGAAGACTGTAATATATTATATTATATCACATTACCTGGCTCTTACAATTATCTGAAACATCTGTAAAATGTTTATGTTTACATTTTGTTTCTTCTATGATTATTAAATTCGGTGTATCAGATGCCCCCATTGAAGGCAAATCATTGTACGCCTTTTACTAAGGCGATTATATTAAAATTTAGCCACAATGTTAAAAGTTGTTCACGATTCATTGTTTATTGGCAAACTGAGATTTGCAAACACATTCTTGCTTTCTTTGCTGACATTTTCAGGCACGGCCCTAGGGACTTTGCCGCCCTGGGCGAGATCGGCGACCGCCGCCATAGACAAAAAGAAATAAATATAGACTGTCAGCTGTGCTGCGGTTAGCGTATATTCCGGCGCCGACCGCTAGGGGTAATTTGTAGTTACAGCGCACACCGCTGCATCATTCTGCAAGGAACCACTAGAAAATAGAGTGTATTTGCTAAATAATTAAATGTTATTAAATCATACCTTCCCAGTGACAGTTGAATGCACAGCAATCACAGGATCCTGTACATTAGATCGTTGCAGGTACTTCTTGAAAGTCAATGCAGCAGGTTGCATCAAACTCGTTTGATGAGCGCCGCTGATGTTGAGGCGACGGGTTTTATTTATTTTCAACGACTTGTTGTTTTTCTCAATGAAAGTCAAGCACTAGAAAATACAAAATTAGGCTAATATAAAAAACGAATAGGCCTATCCATTATGAAGAGAGAGGGAGATATGTCTAATAATATGAATTAATTTCTCCACCAATCGAACATCATTTGACTGAGTTAAATTTGTTTAACGATTGGAAGTATAGGATAGTCAGCAGAATGTTGTTGAGGTAAAGAAGCTGAAATCCTTTCTGTAGGTAAAGGTGGGCATACCGGTAGTTGTAAAATTGATTTAATATTACAATTTATTTACATGCAGGCTATATTGAAATAGGCTAATTAGTTTGTAGTGTGCCTGTAAAGGTCGACAATATTAAGGCAATTTTAGAATGTTCTGTGGCAGCAAATAGGCTATGATATTAGGCTGATTATTTCAATTAGGAAGGTGAGAATAGATTATTGTTGTAGGTACATAAATTACATAATTATATAACATACCAAAAGGTATCGCTATTATTTTTTTATTTTTCATGTTCTATTGTCTATTGTAGGCGCTTGGCTCTTTTCCAGAACAGTTTTCACATTACTGGTACAAAACAGCATTTCTGGTGTACATTTCAGAGGTGGTATATTAGTTACCTGAATGTGGCCAGCGATTACTTTGCAGTGAGGGAACAAATGGTGAGCAACTTCACAAACTGGCTTCTCAACACCTTGTTCTGCAGCGTACTCCTTAGCTTTCGCCAACACTTCGTGTATTTTGGTGGACGGTGTGTACATCACCGTCAACATGCCTCCAGGTTCCATTTCACTGGCTGTTTGCATGGCTTCTCCTCTTAGCTGAGCCAATCGAACGGCTAAAAACAGTTTTGAAAGAAACTTATGTTTGGATTATTGATAGTGATAAATATAGTATAACTAGGCCTAAGTTAGATCGATGCTAAAACTTGGGAGGAAAATGAAATTGGTTTAGTTAAGTCAAGTTAATTTTTACAAACTGATTTTGTTGTACCGTAGTAGGATACTTATAATGATAAGTAAGTTAGGTATAACTTAATAGCTTAGGGGTGAAAACGGTGAAAGTGCAATAAGGTTAAAGTAATTAGATCTTAATTGGTACATCACCACTATCACACTAAAGAAGTAATTCAGCCAGTTAGGCAAAGAACTAGGCTGTAGGTACCGGTAATGTGATCAATAAAAACCAATTTTTAAAAGTTTATAGGCTATGGTAGGCTACACTTTTAAAGTTTAGTGGGTCCCAAGTATTTTTTAAGACATATTTTTAAGTAAATAAGTTAGTCATTTTCAAAACAATTGTTGTAGTTTCAATTTGATATGTGTTATTATTAAGTTAGGGCCTAATAGCCAATTACTGTTTAATCAAATAAGTTAGACTTTGGACTTAACAGCAAACTTACCTCTTTCAAAAGAGAAAGCACCGGCAAAAGAAAGTGCTGTTAATTCACCCACACCAAATCCCGCGGTTGCAATACAACTGTCAACAGTATTAGGCCTTTCTTCTCTAAGTTTTTCTAACGCAGCGAATGAACACACCATCACAGCTACTTGAGCGTATTTAGTCTCATCCAGTTTTGATTTAGGCCCTTGCATACAAAGAGAAAGAAGATTATACTTTAAGATTTCATTCGTCGCAGCAAATATGTCCTTGACACCTGGAAATACGAGTAAATCTCCTACCATGCCAACATATTGACTTCCTTCTCCAGGAAACAGAATTAGGGATGTCTCCCTAGGATCCACTCTTGGTCTTAGAGAATGTCTAGATTGCAGTCTGTGATTAACTGCACCTTTAGGATAAGGTGATGTTGCCCATACATTATCTGGTGTCAATTCTTCATTGCCTTCATGTTCAAATGTTGCAGCATTGTGTAGCAATTCTTGGACGTCATTAGATTTCAAATCCTCTTTGGTAGGCCTATTTGAGCAGTTTGAATGACACAAGTGCAATTTATTAACAACATTTAGTAAGCTACTTGGATCCACACATTTCCTGTCAACATTGAGCAAGCCATTTGCAAAGGCCGAAAAGTTTAACTTGTTAATATTGATAACCCTATCAAATTTCAGCAAACTTTGAATAAAGTACAAGGAGTGACCCATCGCTTCTTAAACTTAACTATGCCGTACTAGCTGGTTTGTAACATATAAAAGCTCTAACCACGAGGTAATAGGAAAACTATTCACTTTGTGACAGACACATTCGTTGATAACAGTTTAAGTCTGAAAAGATTGCATCAGATAAATTTAAACGGCAATAATATTATTATTTGTTTGAACAGTTCTATAACCTCAAAATACCGACTTGACAATACATTTTTATACAAACACTCAAGTAGTACAAGCAGACGATAATCGACAGACTTGAGACTACCCCCACGGCCCACAGACACTTTTTTCCCTTTCCATCATTTGGTGGTTTTATTATATGAGCCATGGAGCTTGGATATTCAGGGTTACATGTAGTTTTTAATTTGTTTCCTTAGTTAAATCATAGACTAACCAACACAAGTAGACTTCTCATCCCATTGTAAATTTTGAAGCACGTTTTTCGTGTCTAGTTCATGTACGTGACACTTGGGCGCTAGTGTCGACGAAACTTTGTTTCTATTATTTTAGGGTTAATTTCTTGATTTGTGCTTTACTGTTTGGTTATAAGTTATTGTTTATGATTAGATCGTATTATTTGGCTAAACGAAGTTTTAAATGGCTGTAATAACGGAAAACAAATTGTAAACAAAACACGACCTCTACATAAACCATACAGAACTAACAATAAAATTGTCTTCAGCTGTTCCATAAGGATGAGAAATCTACTAAGGGAGTATGTTTTATCCGGGCCGTGATATTTGGAAAGAGTGAGTAAATATACCAGGAAGCGAATTTATTTTATTGTGAAGATGCTATTTGTTGTCAAATTAACTTATTATATTTTGATGGTTGTCTAATTTTCAATTACCGCATCTTAGTGACAATTAAAATAGGGAATATGGACTAAGTGGTAGCTTCTATTATACCGTGTTATGTCTAGAGATGTATAATCAACGGTGGTTGCCCCTTGATATGATAAGCTAGATGTTCCTGGTTCAAATCCGATGTAACGTTATTACATTTAAAATAGAATAAAATATATGAATGAAGAATCTTTTATTGTCAAACATTTATAACAAAAGTAACAAGTAAACAAACATTGTTTTTATGAAAACATCTGATTGAATTAAATTACAGAACAGTATTTCAGCATACATAACATTTCCCCCTTCCTTCTTTAAATGCCTGGAGGACTAATATTCATTATGGTAATACATTGGCTTTCTTATATTCCGACTTGATTTTCTCTGGTTTGTAGTACCAGATGAAGGTGAAGTTAGTTAGTTGTTGTTGAAAAGATAGTTGTAAAGGCCGTATTTGTTGGCGTGTTGAAGTTTGTTGTGTTACAGATTGTTGTGCAGGCTGTATTTGTTGACGTGTTCTTAAATGGTCGGCATGCTGCCTGTGTTCTTTGTCATCAATGTTCACTCTGTATGACAATGGTGCTGTTTTCCTTAACACTACCCCTTCTCTCCAAATTTCATTTGGATTCCGTTTCACCCAAACTTTATCACCTGCATTAAAGTCTTTACGTTTAGAGTGGATATCATGATAAAACTTTTGGCGTTCTGACGACTGTTTCATCTTTTCCTTCACGTCCGGTCTTAGGGTGTCAATCAAAGTTCTTGGGTTTCTTTTCAGGAAAAGTTCAGCTGGTGTCCGTCCAGTCGATGAATGTGGAGTTGTCCTGTATGAGAACAAAAGTGTATGGAGTCTTTGCTCGTGATCATTTATGTCAATCATGAGATACTTGTTTTGAAACGTCTGAATTACTCGTTCAACACAACCATTGGAACGACTGTGGTAAGGAGTGGTTCTGATGTGAATCACGTTATTATTGCGGCAAAACTCTCTAAATTCTTCTGAGACAAACTGATTTCCATTGTCAGTAACAATTTGTTTCACAAGTCCATATCTACAGAAAAGTTCACGAAGTCGTCTTATCACAGTGTTGCTTGTAGCGTTTTTCATTGGAAATATTTCCAACCATCGAGAATATGCGTCTTTTACCACTAACCACATGTATCCGTCAAAAGGTCCTTTGAAATCAATATGTAATCTTTCCCAAGCATTTTCCGATATATTCCATGAATTGAGTGGCGTTTCCACATCATTTTTCCTGAATGTTTGGCATCTTGTACAAGTTTTCACTAAGTTTTCAATGTCATCATCTATTTTTGGCCAGTACACATACAACTTCGCCAAAGATCGCATGGCAACTATTCCTGGGTGTGAAACGTGGAGATAACTAAGAACGTCTCCTCTAAGGGACTTGGGAATTAATATTCTTTCTTGCCACAATAAAATCCCCTCTTCATAAGATAGTTCATGTCTCTTGTCATAGAATATCTTCAAATTGTCCGGAATTGAACTTCGATCGGGCCATCCCCTGACACAATAGGATATAATGTGTTTCAGTTCATCATCTCTGTGAGTGTTATCTTGAAGCGTACGTTTTGTAAGTGGCAAATCTTCAATTCTCATAGATCTTACTTGGTTTACTTCACCAAGCGTCTGATACGTATCAATATTTGTTCCTCCTTCTAAAGGTAATCTACTTAGACAATCTGCCAGAACATTATCTTTTCCAGCCCTGTAGTTTATATCGTAGTCGTATCCACTGAGGATAATAGCCCATCTTGCAAGTCTGGAAGCGGCATGTTTAGGTATAGGCTGCTTTGCCCCAAAGATTCGTTCAAGTGGTTTATGATCACACAAAAGAGTGAAATGTCTACCATAGAGATATTTGTAGAATTTCTCAACACCAAAGATAATGGCCAGTGCTTCCTTATCTATAGAAGAATAGTTCTGTTCTGCTGAATTTAATGTTCTTGAAGCGGCTGCAATTGGTTTCTGACTGCCATCAGGACAACGATGAAGGAGAACTGCTCCTAATCCAATATTGCAAGCATCTGTTGCAAGGATAAGTGGAAGTTTAGGATCATAATGTACAAGTACCATATTGTTTGAAATGTTGCTCTTAATATGGTTGAATGCGTCCTCACAGTCACTATTCCAGTCCCAAGTTGAGTTCTTGTGCAAAAGTCTGTGTAAAGGAAAACAAAGAGATTGCAAATTTGGAATGAATCTTGAATAGTAATTCACAGATCCAAGAAATGATCTAAGCCCAGAAACGTTCTTTGGTGGGGGTTGTTTCTTGATAGCTTCTACACGATCTTCAACAGGCTGAATACCCAGAGCACTAATTTTGTGCCCAAGATAAGTCACACTTTGTTTGAAAAGCTGTAGTTTATCTTCACGCGTGCATAGTCCTGCTCTCCTCAATATATTTAAAACTGTTTTGAGCCTATCAATGTGTTCTGGTCCACTTCTACCGCCCACACATATGTCGTCAAAATACCACGCACAATCATCGGTACCAACTAATAATTGGTCCACCAGCTTTTGAAAAATCTTAGGTGCAGTCTTAATGCCAAAAGGTAATCGATTGAAGGTAAAATATCCTTTATGTGTCGCTACCACTAGATATTTTTTTGATTCTTCGTCCACTGGAATCTGTAGATACGCATCCTTCAAATCAATAACTGAAAAGAATTTTGAACCATTCAACTTAAGCACTGTTTCTTCAAACGTAGGGATGCAGTATTCGTCATCGATTAAATGAGGGTTGATTGATACCTTGAAATCTGCACATAATCGTACCTCACCATTAGACTTCGGTACAACAACTAAAGGAGAAGCACAAAGGATCGGAGTCGTAGCCGGATCCACAGGTTCTAAGACCCCTGAGGACACTAAACGATCTAGTTCCTTGCTAGTTGCACTGTGTAATGCAAACGGAACAGGTCTCGGTTTGTGTATTGGCAATTGTACATCATTAGCTACTCTAACCTTAGCTTTGAAATTTTTTACTGTTCCTAGGTTATTGGTAATTATGTCTTTGAATTCTTTATATATCTTACGTTTCTCCCCCTCTTTGTCTATAATGTCCGTGTTAATATGATTGACGCTATAAGAATTTTGCTTACATACATGTTCACAGTTAGGATCTAGATTAAATGCTACAATCCAATCTTTACCAAACAAAGGTGTCCCTGAAACACTGTCAGTGACAGCAACACTTAATTGCAAAGTAGTTGAACCTAACGAAACAGCGACCTTAGTCTCGCCGAGCATAGGTATCCTAAATGACGGATAAGCACCCAGCTCCTCCGTAGGAGTCAGTGCCGGTTCACCAATTTGTTTCCACGTAGATTTACTAATTATAGTTCTTGCAGCAGCAGTGTCATATTCCATCGTTATTGGAACCCTATTTATTGTTAAATGAACAACGTAACAAAATTTCTCTACATTATTAATTTGACTTATGTTCTTTACCAAACCGGGAGGCTCAGCTCCTAGCTCATCAGATATGTCAGGACATCCGTCATTATTTTGATGGAAAAAGTCTACATTGCCACTATAATCACTCATTCCAGCAAACTTATCAATTTGTTTGACAAAACGTCTTGAAAGATTTTTCTCAATGATGACATTATTGGATTTCAGACAAACTCGTTCAAAATGCCCCATTTTCCCACAAGCTCTACATTGAATATTCATTGCCTTGCAATACTCACCTGTTTTATGTTTTGCTAACCCACACCTCAAACACTGTGACTCAGGATTCAAGTTGATTCTAGTACTGTCCCTTTTGTTAGTAGTTCGTGTAGCCCCTACCTTATTTACCTGTGCGTCACATGAAAATGTCCCAAGTGTTTCTATTTGTTGTTGTTGAGAATGTGCCATTTCCATGAGGTAGGCGTCTTTAACGATGTCGACGACAAGTCTTGCTTTTTCCTCAGGATGTTTTCTGATGAGCTCTTCTTGCATTTTAGGATCATTTAAGCCCAATAAGAACTGGTCTCGCAGTCTTTCGTCAAGTGTATCTTTAAACTCACATTCCGTGGCACCAGCTCTCAATTTGTTTACAAATATGCGTATAGATTGATCTTTGTTCTTCACGATTTTTCCAAATTTTAGTCTTTCGGCCAAATAGGATGTTTTTGGTTTATAGAAATTCGAAATAAACTCAACAATTTCCTCGTAGTCTACTGTTAAAATAGGTGTTGGATAAAAGTTATCAACCACAATTCTATAATGTTCAGCACCAATCCATTTCAGAAGTAAAATTCTTTTAGCTTCTTGATTGTGTTGTAATCCACAAACAATTATTTCCAACTCAAACCTTTGGTAGTAGTACTTCCATGTTTCTTTGGTAGCATCAAACTTCTCGAACTTGAAATGTGTAATACTATGTGTAGTAGGTTGTTCCACTGTTAATGTAGATGATGTGTCGTCATTGTCATATTCCTCATGTCCGTGCAGCGCCATTATGTAACGTTATTACATTTAAAATAGAATAAAATATATGAATGAAGAATCTTTTATTGTCAAACATTTATAACAAAAGTAACAAGTAAACAAACATTGTTTTTATGAAAACATCTGATTGAATTAAATTACAGAACAGTATTTCAGCATACATAACATCCGACTGCCTCCAATATATCTTTGTGGTCAACACTCACTGACAATGAATACAAACCTAGCCTTTTCTTTATGTTTGTTTTCTAATAGCACTTCACTGTCTTTAAACTAGGTGGCGTTCGCAGAGGCATCCACAAAATTGAGCGGAGTCATCAAGGGTTCATATTATATTGTTTTTGTCATACTGCATTAAAAACAGTCGTTTTAATGCATGCGTTGCGGGTTTAAAGAAGCATTTTTACTCTCTAGGGAGTAAATATCGTTTTTAGCCTCTGTGGAGTAAAAATCGGCGGTTGTCAACTCAGTTGCAAATTTCTATTGTAAACGATTGCATGTATCGAAATAAGTATCGATTCGTGCTTCGTAATCATTTTAACCTACAGTCTACAGTCTCTTCCCATAGCATTTTAGCATTGCAGATACATTAATCCATTCCCACACTCAACACTACTCATCTTTACTACTTCCATCACCACCCCCTACGCCACCCCCTACGTCGTGGACCTTTTTCCCTCTCTTCCCATAGCATTTTAGTATTGAAAATACATTAATGTAATTGCCAAAGACAGTTCCCACACTCTGCACTGCAAGCCTTACTACTTCATCACCATTTCCAACGTCATAGACCTGTTTCCTTCCCATCTCATAGCAAAAGTATTAGATACATTTATCTAACTGCCCAAACGGTTCCCCCACTCTGCACTTCCAGCCATTACTACTTCCTTCACCACTTCCTACGTCGTGGGGCCTGTTTCCTTCCCTTCTCATAGCATTTTAGGATTGAAGACACATTAATCTAACTTCCACAGACGGTTCTCACACTATGCTCATACTTTACTACTTCCTAAGCCACTTCCTACATCGTGGACCTGTTTTCATCGCTTTCCATAGCATTTTAGTATTTTAGATACGTTAATCTAATTGCCACAAACATTCCCCACACCCCACACTGCTAGCCTTTACTACTTCTTTCACCATTTTCTATGTTTGGGCATGCTTCCATCCCTTCTCATAGCATTTCAGCATTGCAGATTCATTAATCTAACTGCTACAAACGGTTTCCAGTTACCATACACTCCACACTGCTCACCATACTACTTCCTTAACCTCTTCTTACGTCGTGGACCTGTTTACATCTCTTCCCATAGAGTTTTAAGATTTTTGATACCTTAATCTAATCGTCATAAACAGTTCCCACACTCCAAACAGCTCGCCTTGATTACTTCCTTCACCACTTCCTACGTCTCGGACCTGTTTCCCTCCCTTCCCATAGCATTTTAGGATTGCAGATCCCTTAATCTAATCGTCATAAACAGTTCCCACACTACGGACTGCTCGCATTTACCACTTCATTCACCACTTCCTACGTCAAGGACCTGTTTCCCTCCCTTCCCATTGCATTTAAGGATTACAGATCCCTTAATCTAATCGTCATAAACAGTTCCCACACTCCAAACAGCTCGCCTTGATTACTTCCTTCACCACTTCCTACGTCTCGGACCTGTTTCCCTCCCTTCCCATAGCATTTTAGGATTGCAGATCCCTTAATCTAATCGTCATAAACAGTTCCCACACTACGGACTGCTCACATTTACCACTTCCTTCACCACTTCCTACGCCACGGACCTGTTTACCTCCCTTCCCTTAGCATTATTGGATTGCAAATACCTTAATCTATTGGTCATAAACAGATACCAAACTCCGAACAACTCGCCTTTACTACTTCCTTCACCACTTCTTTACGTCACGGACCTGTTTCCCTCCCTTTCCATAGCATTTTAGGATTGCAGATACCTTAATCTAATCGCCATAAACAGTTCCCACACTTCGCACAGCTCGCCTTGACTACTTCCTTCACCACTTCCTACATCGTGGACCTGTTTTCCTCCCTTCCCATAGCATTTTAGGATTGTAGATACCTTAATCTAATCGTCACAAACAGTTCCCACAGTCCGGACTGCTTGCCTTTACTACTTCCCTCGCCACTTCCTACATCACGGACCTGTTTCCCTACCTTCCCATAGCAGCATCATAGGATTGCAGATACCTTAATCTAATCGACATAAAAAGTTCCCACACTCCGGATAGCTCACCTTTACTACTTCCTCCACCACTTCTTACGTCGCGGACCTGTTTCCTTCCCTTCCAATAACATTTTAGGATTGCAGATACCTTAATCTAATCGTCATAACAGATTCCACACTCCAGACTGCTCACCTTTACTACTTCCTTCACCACTTCCTACGTCAAGGACGTCAAGCTAGTGTCGTCACTTAAATATACCCTATTTATGATCCATACCGTTGCTGTTCTAATATCTGTGGAATAATGCCACCAGCTATTTCTTTATCTACTGCATTCAAAAGTCAACAGCTGATCATATGTCTTTGTTTATGTGTCAAATACTGCTTCCATAAGGATTACATTGAAACTTTGAGACCCAGTGGGGTGGATTCCTGAGAGACTTTTTTAACGCCATATAGATGTTGGCACTCACCGATATGGTCTTTATCACCATACAAAATTTGAAAACGATTGATTCAGCCGTCTAGGAGGAGTTTGCGTATTACGAAATGCATAAGAGTCGACGTATAAGAGCTTCGCTCGCTCCGCTCAATGAATGGCCACAGACATATGGCCTATAGATGATCATAACACGGCAGTTCATAAAAAATCCAGCTTTCCACCATTTAGTTGCGATAAAAAACATTTATTGACTGGGATATTAGTTGTAATTCTCTCGTAACGGTGTAAAGCTATACTAGGAAGCATTATACGTTAGCCTAGCTTTGATCAACCAGAGCAGACCTAGGGCGGGAGCGGGCGCTGATTTGAGTTTTGCAACCGCAGAGGATTTCAACAATTTCTTTTTGGACTCTGTGGATGGTATTGTTGACTCCATTCCACTAAAGGATAACAATTATTTTGATTGTATTCCAGGGGTACATAATAAGTTTGAGTGGAAAATGGTTAGTGCATTAGAGGTAACAAATGTAGTCAGTAGTTTTAAGTCCTCTAGCAGTAAAGATGTTTATGATATGTCAACTGATTTTATCAAAAGGGTTGTACATGTAATCGCTCCTTTATTGGCCCATTTGTTTAGCTGCTGCCTTCTTGAAGGCGTCTTTCCTGATGTTCTTAAAACAGCCAGAACAGTGCCTGTGTTTAAAAAGGGCCCTAGAAATGTACTAGCAAGCTATAGGCCGGTGTCCCTGATACCAGTGCTAGGCAAGATATTTGAAGCCTTAATGTTAAGGCAGATAAGTGATCACTTTGAAACCCATAACTTGCTAGTCCCTGCTCAGCACGGATTTCGCAGGGGCAAGTCCACTGTAACTGCGGTGGGCTCCCTTTTACAGGTTATTCTTAATGCTTTTGAAGACAAAATGTCAACCTCTGTTGTGTTATGCGATCTGTCACGCGCTTTTGATTGTGTGCCGCATGACCTACTTGTCAAAAAGCTTTCAATGTATGGTGTTGGAGCCTGTGCGCTCAAAATGTTTGAGTCCTACCTCGATAATAGGTTCCAGGTTGTATCCTGGGCTGGGGATAAATCAAACTCTCGAATGGTAAAGCATGGAGTCCCACAGGGCTCAATCCTTGGTCCCTTCTTATTCATTGTTGCCATGAATGACTTGTATTATGGTGTCTCAAATGATATATTGATGTATGCAGATGATACCACTATTTTTGCTACACACATTGATCATATTATGGCAAAAAATTCTGCTAGCTCATTGTTAAATGAAACGTCTCAATGGTTTGATGGAAATAAATTGGCCTTGAATGCAGGCAAAACTCAAGAAATCATGTTTAGCCTTAATAAAAATGTTTCCAGTGATGATTCTGTAAGACTGCTGGGTTTCACCCTGGACTCGGAGCTTGCGTGGGATGACCACATAGATGCACTCTGTGTAAAATTAAGTAGAGTAAGACATCTTTTGAGGAAGTTGACCTCTGAACTACCTTTTAACTTTTTGAGACTGGCTTTCTTTTCTTTTTTTCAGTCCCATATTGTATATGGCACGCTCCTGTGGGGTCACTCCCCGCATGCTCAGAAAGTACTGCTCCATCAAAAAAAGGCTATCAGAATAATATGTCAGGTTCATTATCTGGAGCATTGTAGGCATTTGTTTGCAGAACTTCGCATTATGACTGTTGTAAATGTATATATTTATCAATCTTTGTTAGCTATTAAGGACATGGAAGAAGATCTGGTTTGTAACAAGGATGTCCACTCATATTTTACAAGAAATAGAAACAATGTACATTTAAGTAGCAATAGATTGAGTAAAACTAATAACTGTTTTCCTGTTACAGGCAAAAAGTTTTACAATGCTCTCCCGGAAAGTGTACGGTCATTGCGGAAGTCAAAATTCACAATAATTGTAAAAGATTGGCTTGAAACGAATCCTTTTTATGAAACTAAAGAATTTTTTGATGCTCTGAAGGCTGGCCATTGTTTTTAGTTTGTAATTTTATTTTTACACTCAGGTATGTGTCACAGTTGTCATTTTCTTTTGTTTGCCATAACTGCATGGTTTGCTGTTTTGTTTGCTGTGAAGATTAACCATTTTTTATTTCAGCATGGTTTGTAATGATGAACTTTTGATTATTTATATGCATTGGTTTGTTATTTTAGAATAGTTTGACGTTACCTATTGTATTCATTTACTTAATGGTATAATAAATCTCTTGAATCTCTTGAATCTCTCTCTTGAATCTCTTGAATCTCTAGCTTTAAAGAAAGATATTTTTTTAAACTAAGAGGTCCAATGAAATGTTTTTCCTGAAATCAAAGGTGGATTTTTTACAACAGATTTAGGCTAAACGTCAATATTTTC